CCGCAACACTTTCATCGACAACAGACAACGCAGCATTCTCTTCGCTTCCTTCCAACAATGTTGCATTTTCCGAGCCATCAGTTGATGGTGTTGTTGTTTCATTGTTCGATTGAATACCACTTGGTTCAGGAACCGCAATGTCACGAGACTCGATTTGCTCAGCCATTCTGGCACTCACAGAACGACGACGTTGCATGAATGGTTTGTTTGTAATTTTCTTGAATAAGGCTGTCGATCGGTTGGAAGTCGATGGGGCAACATAGTCATCCAATGCGATTGTTCTGCGGCGAGCAGTGATTTTAGCAGCACGTCGAGCAAGAAGCAACTTTTCCAATCCAGAATTACGACTGATTCGAACCTTGCATTGCGAATAACGTTCAATCAACATTTTCTGGGTGTCACCACGAGTTGCTAAAATTTGCATAGACAATTTGTTATTTTTCTCATCAAATAATATTGACTGATCATTTTACACCATTAGATAAAAATTCTTTTTGTTAATTTATTCACAAAAACTTACTTCGTTTAATGCCATCAGGGGCAAGTTGCGTCGAAGAGCTCTTACGTTTTGGCATGATTGAAAAGTTCTCAATGCGGTAACAAATCGCGCAAAAAGTAGTGCTAATTTTTTCTATTGAGGATGGAAAATTAAATGTTTTTTATTTTGGAATCCGGTAAATTCCTTTCAAACTTTATTTGAATTTAAATAAAACTGGAGCTAACGTTTTAACTCAACAAGTGAATTATTTGCAATGCGAATCCTTTCCGTTTGCGGTAAACACTACGCGCAATACACTTATACACACAAACCAATCAAACAGTTTCATTTGACAGCTACGAGATTGAGCGCGGCATTGGCAATCATGCAGTATGGAGGTCAGCGACCGCTATTGCAAGGCTAATGTGATGTGATTTTTCGGAACAATGAATGCGGCACAAATGAAAACAAGACAAAGTAAAAATAAATCCAACACGAATAAAAATCATTCGACAGAATTTTTTTTGAGCAAATCCGCCGTTTATTTAAAAACATAGAAATGATTTAAAGTAATGACATTTGGCATTAAACAATGCATTTTTGTAAATAGTCCACCAGTGTTTGAGAATGCCAGACAGTTGCGTAGATCGATGGCATAATGGAAATTTCGCCGTTTTCATATTGTAGAAAGTAGACGATTCCTTCACTTGTCTTCGCAGCATCTGGGAAATATATGAACAATTTGAAATTCATTTAGAAATTGATTGCGATTTTGATTGGAATATCCCTTACAAATAAATTTGCCGTTTGCGTTACGGGGTTCAACGAGAACAGATAACTCTGGGCCATCGCCTTCTGCTTCAGCTCCTTCGTCCCATTCGATTTTTGCTTCCAAAAACTGGATTATGCTCACGGCAAACGGCTTCACTTCGGTCCACCCCATGACTTTTGGTTCATGTTCGTCGAACTTGACTAAAAAGTTTGCAGTGGACCCTTCACGTTTGGCACCTTGAATTAATCAATATTTTATTATAAAAAAATCACAAATCATACCACCTAATTATAAATAAAGTAAACACATTACCCAAAACAATTGGACCTCGCGATTTTTCAAATTCAAGAAGGAGTTCGTTGCAATTCAACAAGTTTGTTTTCGGTTCCCACGACGGTTTTTTCACGTCTTTCCATTTTAGCAGGTACTGTACACAATACACATTATACATAGAATCAATGAAACAATTTTTTTTAATTGTGCCAGATATATATAACAAAAACTTACCTCCTCTTTTTTTCCCACTGTGCGTTTATCAAGAATATTTTCTACTTCGTGATCTTTCATTTTTTATTCTCGGTTGAAAATTCAAAACAAAACGCAAATTCGGTTTGCAATGTTATGACTTTTGTTTTGACATCTCATTCAAATTCGCCTCAACATCATTTGAATTCGCTGTGCCTAATGCTTTATTATGAAAAACTTGCGCGAAGTGCTCAAACAATTCGCAACGCTAATAGATGGCGGTGGCTGTTTAATGCTGTGAACATGCTTGAGATATGAATAAAATAAATAGTCTTACCTCCGTTAGACGAACTTTTCCGCACCGTTTTCATAGCGTTCAGCTTTTATTCAGATTTTGCCTAGGAAATTTATAAGAATTTTCAGAAAAAAACATGTTGATGTTCATGTATTTTATGAAAAATTGTATTATGATTCCGAGAATCTTGATGTTGGGTATTCAAATGAAATGAAACGTCTGATTGTCTTTATTGTCGTCTGAAAACTTTATTCTACTCTCTTTCAAAAATGCAAAATAATCAAGTATTGAAAAAACTGAACTTTAATCGAAGAACTGCAAATCAGTCAAATATTTGGAGAATGAACTTTGATTTTAATTAAATCAAAAAATGTGGACGGAAATAATAAGCTATCTCGACAAAATGTTTAATAAGCAAGTTGAATGAACTGATTTTTTTTGTTTCTTTTTTGATGAAATTAGACAAAAGTTACCGAATCGAAATCAATTGGTCATTATTGCGATGCAACACTTGAAAACAAGTATCCAAACACTTTAACAAAAACAAAATTGTGTGTATTATTTATTGTGGAAACAGCTGTAGTTTGTTTCGTATATTCTTTTGATGTGGTTTCGTAGTTGGCTAGTCTTTTTTAAATTGTCTATTTTGTGCTGATTGATTTTTAGATGGTATGTTGCAGGGTTGTGTCCCAAAATGATGGTTGTGGCGTATGCAATCGAGAAAATGCCACAGGAACATCCATCTGGTTGCAACGTTGCCGGTTCGATGAATTGATACTGTGCTCCGGGGTACGGGCGAGTGAGGATGTTTCGTTGATATACGTCCAATCTTTTGCCATGATTGCCCTCCCCGTGTAGACTGTATAGTAAACTGTGGTGTAATGGGCAAGAAAGCTGGCCCGGTCGCTGATATGTCATTTGCAGATCGTCTCGTTCGGCTAGAAGTCGTTTGTATCGCTCTTGTTTTTGTACATAGCAGACTGGATGCATGTCGAATGGTATGCTTCTGTTTGCGTTCACCAAATTTATAATGAACATATCGATTGACAAATCATTTAAGAATTCTGTTCCAACAATTTGATTTGTGATTAATTCTAGATCTGTATTCTTTGTAGTTTCACACAAGTCTCCGATCTCGTAGTAAAATCCATCCTCTTCCAACTCGGGGAAATCCACATTGTTGAGAATAAAGTAAAAACTTCTTTCGAATTCATTCCTCGTGACGAAAGCGAACACAAATTCAGTGATATCATTTTCAGCAAATCATTTCGGAGCGATTTGGATTTACTTTTTTGCATTATTCCAAATAATTTCTAATAATTAATCGCTCCGTAATGATTTTCTAAAATTGGTATCACTTGTTTTGTGTTCGCTTTTATCACGAGGAATAACTTCGAAAGAAGTTTTTTTGATTGTACAATCTACGATGAACATTCAACACTCTTCCATTCAATTCACTTGTTATTATTTTATTCAGTGGAACAAAAACATTGGAAATGACGACGTCATTAATATCGAATAATTCATATTTGCAATGGAAACATCTGCAAAATAATATCTTTTTCAAAACGAAATTTTCCATTTTTGAGATAAAATACACGCACGTCTATACACAACAAAAAATGTAAACAAACAAACTTTCACTTTTGACATATCGACTTTCACTTTTATGTCAAAATATGCGTGGGTGCCTTTATACGTGGATCACATACAAGCGTGGGTGTTGTTACGCACTGTTCACAATAGAGCGTAGTTAAGACAATAGGCTTAACATATCATATGTCATTGTTGATTGGTTTGGCTTTCTGGATAGTTCGTGTGAGGTCAAAAAATCAGAATTGATAATAACACATCGGTCAATAAGTCCCGAGCCTAACCACCAAGTGGCAACACTAATGTCAAACCCATATCATTTTCGAAAACTACAACCTTTTTTAGGAATCCAGTCAAAATTTGAGCCAAATCCGACCATCAGTTTGCTAGTTACAGCTATACGAGAGAAAGACTCCCGAAAATGCTTCAATTTTGCCGTTAAAACGGTATAACTTTCTTCTGATGCATTGTATTCAAGTATATTCATGTGGAGAGTTCAGAGAATGACCAGACCTAAAAAATACAATGGTTAGTGAAGCAGTTTGAAACCAATTTCGTTCAATTATATCACCATATAAACAGTTCTTTGACCTGGATGAAACTCGCATTTGAACAACATAGTTTTCTTCGCCAAATTTGCTATGTTTTATCAAGATTTGACATTCGGATAGGTCTAAAATGATGCATAAGTGACTTTTCATGTTGTTTTATATCTTTCCCACTGGTTCGCGAATATTTTTCTATACCTGAATCCACTAATAATGCCCGAACTCATATTTTGCGACCTTGGTCGCTACAAACCGTTTTTGGCGATTTCTACCCGCAATTTATAGATCGAATCTATTCAAATGAACTCAAAATACATTAATTCTAATATATAAAGGCAAAACCCTATTCAAATTTTACTTATACAGCTCCAAACGGGCTTCGAATCCCCAAAAAACTGTTCTATCTACTCCATATCCAAAAACGCGGCAAGGCTTTTTCGATTGAGTATTTCATATGCATATATCCATGCAAAGTTGTAACTATAGCTTGAGTTAGTTGCCCTATGGCCTTAGCAAATCTATGAACTATCACATTTGAGAATTCCGATATCACTTAACGGATTTTGGCAATGATTTCTTCCAAAACCACATATTTTGAACAATTTGGAGGCTTATCGACAAAATCGCTCTTATGGCTATGCATAAATTCAATTCTTCCATATCTAATGATTGATTTCGAAAGCCTAAGGATGCCATAAACTAATCATAGTATGGGTTTGGTACTCCTGCTCGTTTTTCTTCTGGAATACATGTGTCAAATCGAGAGGAGAAATGCAGTTTTTCCATGATTTTGGAAAATTGGAAAATTGCTTCATTTAAAGTGCTGTAATTAGCGAACTGATGGTCGGATTTGGCTCAAATTTTGACTGGATTCCTAAAAAAGGTTGTAGTTTTCGAAAATGATATGGGTTTGACATTAGTGTTGCCACTTGGTGGTTAGGCTCGGGACTTATTGACCGATGTGTTAATTGTTATTTGTCAAATTATAATTACCATGTATGCTCTTCCTGATCAGGGTGGCCGAAGTGCTTCTCACCGAACTTGGCCTTTACAATAGAACGTTTGCATTTACCTTTTCCGTTTGCATTTACAGGCTGTAAATTACAGCGGACGTCCAGTATTGTATTAATACATTGCTGTATTAAATCAATATAATTGGTCAAATGTTTTACTTCCCGCATTGAAATCGATATCGGATAATTAAATTTTAACGAGAAAAAATCGTGGGAAATATGTCCAACGTACCAAAGCCAGCTATGTCTAAAATTACAATTGAATTATCGGCTGTGGATGCAGTAATGCAGACAATGATTTCATTTGAAATTCTGATTGCTGATGAACTTTGATGATGGTTGAATGCTAGGGGTTTCACGCAAACTCGAAGGCCGAAGATTTTACTAAATAGCTGGAAATAAAACCATTTTATGTGTAAACTATAGATATTGCTTCTTTTTATTCATAAACTCGAATCTGATCCATCCTGAAGATCCACCAAAACCCATTTCCAGAACCGGGAGCAGTTTTGAATACAGCTGTCACTTTATTAACATATTAATAATTTATTAACATATTTTTTTATTAACATATTAATAATTTATTAACATATTTTTTTATTAACATA